AATAAAGACATAAAGATGTTAAGTCACTCGCTGAGCCGTGTAATGAATCAATAGCTAGGCTGAAGCCAGGAATCCTTTTCCAGGCTTTCATGCAACCACAAGACTTTCTGCCTTGTCAATTATTAAAGACTTTCAGCAAGCTTCAGTGAGCCACGCCAAAACACATTTCTTCATGTTCTTCCCCTTCCACTTCCTTGAATTTTGTTTTATTCCATAGTTTTGTAAATGCGTGTTATTGTGATATTTGAGCAGTGTTTACCCTAGCACACAAGAATGGCTGTGAGCAGAGATGGGAAACTGGAGGTTGTTTTGCTTAGTGCAGATTGGTCATGAGATGTGAAGCTCAGTGAAGGCTTTAAACTTTCAGCGCTTTGTATCTAGGGTCTTCATTTAGGGCCAAATATGTTTCCTTATGAAACAGCAACATGAAGAGTCCTCCTGTGTAGACTTCTCTCTCATGGCCTTTGTGAGATAGATACCCTGAACGTCTGCAAGCTGACACCTACAGAGACGACATGACACAGTCCAGTCACACCACGAGTCAGTGGGAAATGCAAAAAAATAACACCTCTTTTCTAATTCAGCTTTTCTGCTGAACAACAGATGCCAACAAAATCAAATGTTCCAGGTGGGAAAATACGAATGAGTATGGGTAGCAGAGATAGGGAAATCCTGTCACAGTCATTTGGCCTTGCATAATCCTTCTTCCAGAGCTTGGCTGGCAGCAGCACAGGCCAGGTCCAGTCTGAAAAGGAACACTACTAGAACACCTGCTCAACTCACCACTGAGAAATCCGGAAAATTGAAATAACCTTTCTGCTACTATGAGCTAATTTGGTCTGCTTGCAAGCATTAGTCACTTGTTTTTTCTATATTATTGTATTAAATGGAGGAAACAACCAACAAGGTAGATCAAACATGCTTATATACAGTATTCTTATATGCGTATACACAGTACCTAACCGTACAGTGTAATGAATACTCTTTCAATGACAACCCAGTTACTTACTTTGTCTTCTCTAGTGTGTTACCAAATGCAGCTTCTTTAATACTTTCTGGGTTTTTGGCTCTTAGCTTAGAGTATCTGCAGTGCTGGGAACTTACTATCCAAGAGACGACTGTAAAATTTCTTGTGTCTCTCTTGTGTGAGACTTTTAAACAGCCATCTCCACTTAGAAATATTTTTCTGATGGGTGTGTTTGACTTCTTTTTCTAGGCTCTTTTTTGCATGTTGGTGCTGAAAGCTGTGGTTTTAGATGAAGGTGTCCCTGGCCCAGTTAGACATTTGACCCGGGCTTTTACCCCATTACAAATGAAATTTTGTCTCTGCTTTATGATGTTTTTTTTTTTTTTTTTTTTAACAGAAATCCCTTGCACATTGCAATGACATGTGAAGTAAGTGTTTCAGGCCTGTCCCTTGGTCCCCTTCATTTGCCACCCTTTTTTTTTACCAGATACCATCTGGTAATATTCTTCTGGGGTGTGTGGGGACTGTTGTCCTGTGGCCTTTGGTGTACTGGGGCTGTCTGTTACTTCGCAGCCACTAAGCTTAACAGCTGTGAACATGATAAATGTATTGTCTGATAAGACTCTGTTGCGTGTCTAAGAAACCATACATCTAAAAAGCAACAGATGAAATAGAATACTCCTGCATAATTCTTCTACGCAGTGTGTTCCCATTGCAATGCTTAATGGATCTAAGGCTGAGGCTTTTTTCCCCAGATGTGGACATGCCGCATCCCTGGTAGTTCAGTGGTGGTGTGTTGGCATGGCAATTTTTCATCCTGATTCTCCTCCCCAGAACAGTGCTGTCCAAGGCACAGCTTTCCGACTCCACAAAGGTTCAGCCCTGCTTGCTTTTCTGTAGGGGAATTAACTGGCGGTGGGTTCAGACTCTCACAGTGTCACACTTTCATCAGTACTTGCAGCAAGCACTGACCTTTCTTTGCCCTTATTCCACCCAATCTGTTTGCCTAAAAGTCTTAAACGTGCAACATAAATGTGATTGAAACCATAGTAAACTATGAGAATGCAATGAAATTACCTTTATTCAGCTTCCAGTAGGATGCTGAGCTAGAATGAAGATAAAAGTAACTAATTCCAGCATGTGATGCCACTTGGGATGGAGTCCTGCCTTTCCCTCACCCCACTGCCTCTTCCTCCTGCTGCATGTCCTGTGCAGGCTCAGGCCTCCTCCATGAGCCTGCTCATCAGCCTTGCAGAAAACCAATGGGGGAAAAAAAGTGGTCTTGTTTTTTTCTGCAGGGTTAGTGAGTTCAACTGGCTCATGGTGGTGTCTGCTGGGTGTAAGGGCTAGGGTACAGCTTGAATCATATGGCTAAAACCAGGAATCGCACAGCCAGGACAGGAGAAGCAGAAAGAAGAAGAAGGGAAACAGAGAGTTGGAAAGGGGAAAAAAACCTTGCCTGTTCAGTGGAGGGAATATATTTGATCAGTTCATCTGACTGGAACTGCTCTCTTTGTGTTTAGCCTTAATTATTTCTGCTTCCATTCTCCCATCCTTTAGTCAGTCTCTTCTAATTAGTAAGCCCTTCACAGTAGGGATTGTGCATAATCTTGCGGGTGGACTCTTGAGATACTGTGGGAACATTAACAATAATATAGTAACAGTAATTCTAGTAGGTCCAGCTCAACTCCTGGTAACTGTTGGATTGGTTTCCCCATTTAAATGACGGTGCTTTTTTTTCAGTGTGTATCATAGTAGTGACAGCCTCTCTTGTTTAAAGAAAATAGGAGACTTAGTTGTTCTAGGTAAATTGCACCTTGCATAATGAGCGGAGCCAATAGGTAGAGAGCTTCCTGACTTGTGAAGCAGAAACTGGGTGAAAAACACTAGTAAATTGGAGCAATAGTTGTTCCATGTATTTCAAGCATGTGCAGAAGCCAGACACAAGTAGGGTAGAGGCAGAGGCACAGGTCCCTTACGTTTATGAAGTTGTAATCTTCACCTTCCCCCAGACTTAGACTGAATTTTTTTTCCAGTTCCTTGACATGCTTTTGAAAATTAAATATTAATGACCTACCACAACAGTCAGTGCCGTAGTACAGACTGGTGGGCCATATGCCTTTGAGTTTAGCTCTTCCAATAAATCGCACAAGCATTCGCTTGCTGTGAAGCGCGTGCTGCTGGTGCTGCACCTGGTGGATGAGGTATGATGTCAGTAGCCCCACTCCATACTGAGAGTGACCTAAACCATGCCTTCAGCCACACAACAAATTAGGTTGACTTAGGTCTTTGTGTAGTTTCACGTCAGAAAAGACCTGTGGTGTCCTTCCTGGTGCAGGATTAGCAGGGGCTGAACTGTGGCAGCTGAGGTAACATCTGGCTTGGACGGTAAGACCTGCCGACAGCTGAGGGCCATGTGGGGCCTCAGGGTAATACAGCTGAGCCAGTTCTGCTTCAGCATGGAGACAACTCCCAGCCAAAACTGAAGTTGCTTCCCTCATCAAATAGGTGTTACTGAATAACAAAATTAAAACAAAGAAAACCTTTTTATGGAGGACATCATAATTACAAATAAGAGATTTATTTCTATGGATGAATTATTCAAGGAGTATGGAACAGAAAATAAGCCAGCTTGAAGATGTTGGAAGACATTACACAGGAAACATCAATATTAATAACGGAAATTGTGGAAAACACAAAATTAGACAAGGTGCTCAATTTTCAGTGGTAGGGGTAGGGTCATTAGCAGCAATTCAAAACAGTAGAACTTACGGTATTGAAATTGAAGAGGAAATACATTTTGTCTTTTCTTGTGCAGTACAAACCATTTGTAAAGCCCTCGGTTTGTTCCATAGCATGGAGTTGCATGTGTATTTAAAAAGAGAAGCAGGGCTTGTGTGCTCTCGTTGAATTTAACACTGACAGGGAGGCAGGTCAGTCTAAAGTACCTGCAGCACAGACAGGCAGTGGCTGCAAAGTGATTGCATGCATGTTTTATGCAGTGGTCCTCTCATTTTAGCAATCTATCAAATGTTAGCATAGCCATTTATGTGTCAGGATCCCATGCAACTAGTGTGTAACTCTTCATCACCACTGACAAGATGTAACAGCACTGCTACAACAGGACCAGGCAGTAGTTCCCATGACTGTTAAAACAACTAAAATGCATGGGAATGCAAGCTGGGCTGCCCCTGGGAACCTCATTTTGAGACGCCCTCATGTTAAATTCAATCAATCAGTGTCTGAAATAATATATACTCTATTTGCATATTTTTTTTGCCTGAGAAGGTTCAATATATAAACTTTGGGGGAAAAAAAAAATCATAAAATTTTACTCCATATAAATAGTTACCTATAAAAGTTGTGTTATCCATAGAAAATTAGGATGCAGTTTCTTCATTTTCTTTGAACATAAAGCGAGAATGCCCTGTATTGTGTCTCTACACACACAGTGGTAGACTCTTGGTAGAGCATCATTGACATTAACAAAGCTACACCAATTTGCATCAGCTGGGTATATGGTCCACAGGACCTAAGTTACACTGGAAGATAATAATGATTACTCTCTCAAGCATTATTTTGTGAATTCAGCCATTAAAACATGGAAAGTAATTAACATCTCAATATTACATATTGAAATTTAAAATTTTGTAAAAATAGTATGTTAAGCTATACATTTAAAATTAATAGGATTGGCATTTCCTTGTATGGTAGTTAAGCAATTCAGATTCTGTGTAACACAGTTAAATCCACAGATTTCACTGAATTTGTGCACCTATGTCAAGACTGCCATCAGCACCAAGGTATTTGTATATCACTTGTTCATTCTGTCACATCTAGATTTCACGCCACATGGTGCAGTTCTCATGTATCTGAAAAGGTATTTTAAACTCCTACTGGCTTCAGTTAATAGGAATCTAGCCAGTTTAGGGAAGGTAGGACTAGGCTTCAGACAGATCCTAGGACTATTGCACTATTCATCTCAAAAGCAAGCTGGACACAAATTCAAACAGAAGGAGGAAACTTTCTCTCTTCATGTTCTTATTCTTTCACTTGGCACTGAGCATTTGTTAGAATAAAGCCCACTTTCTTGTCTGCAGGCAGCTCCATTCATATGGCTAATGCTTTCATTTGCACCTTCTGTCTGAGAACTCCCATCAGTCGTCTGAAACAGAAATAAAATGTCAATGAAGGCAGTGCGTGTCTTCCAACAGGCAGCCACTGGACTTGGTTCCCATTACAGAGCTCTGCTTGACTCCCCTCTTTTTAGTCGCACAACAACTTACATTTGAAAAAAATTGAACTGAATGTGTACAAATGTCTGTAAGAGGAGGCTTGTGCCCCAAATCTAGTATTATCCAGATAGCAAATAATCCATAGGGTCTCTGCCTTAATTACTACATTCCCAGATAGCTGAGCTATTGCCTTCTTGCAGCGTCACTGGAAAACTCAACAAGGGACAACTTGGTGAGCTTTCCTGTAACACAGTGGGCAATATGTGTTTTTAAGGGTGTGAGAAATTATATATGATTTATCCAAAGCTGGGGCTGCAACCTAAGAAGTCCTAATTTGGGTGCACGTCAGCCATACTCAAAGAGCTATGGTGGAAATGAAATCCTTGGAATGCTCTGAAAACTTGGATACCTTCCAGGCTGAAGGCTTGCTTAAAAAGCATTGGTATCCATTGGTAGCGTGCAATACCTAGAACTAGTAAAATTATTGACTTCTGAGCTCATGATTTTGTGCAGCACAAAGCCTGGTTGGTCTTGTTTGCATAAGCCACACAAGGGGCTTGTCTATAACACATTTCTCGTTGTCTGTATTACTCAGGTCTTTCTAGATTTGCCCCAGTAACATAATCCTTTCAGGTTTCTAGTAGAAGGTTACGTTCTGAGCTCAGTTTCAAGGCACAGAACCACCCACATCACCAAAAATCAAGGTATGCCCTACCAAAGTCATTTAAACTTGCTTTGCCAAACACCTATCTAAGTAAGAGTTAAAAATAATTCAAAACATACTTGTCTTTTATACTGTGCATTTGTAGATGCATCATTTTCTGTCTTCATTCCAGTTGCCTCTTCCATTTCTAAAAAAAAAAAAAATAAAAATTTAAAAGAACCAGGAGTACATAAGCATACAGTCAATTTAACAGCTGGCTGAAGTAAAAAATACCTAATCAGCTATTCCTCTGGGCATTTACCACACAGAAGAATAACCGAAGAATGATGAATACTTCCTAAAACATTTTTTTGAGGCAGTGTGATTAATGTATCAGGACTGGGTAGCTTGGGGGTGTTTAGAAAAAAGGAATGAAATTATCAGCTTCACTGTAGCATGGGGGTTTAGAAAGACTTTTCAGAGCTGAATTCTGCCTTTGTCCAGCAGGTTTGTGCTAGTCTAACTCCAGTTGTTATAATCTCAGGAGATGGGAGCATTCAATGTAGAACAGGCTTGGAGAGTCCTTCACTAACAGTATACCTGACATTGTTTTCCCCTTGATTGGTCTCCAGGTAGAAAGATAAATAGAGCCTGAAAACCTTCAGGCTAAATTTGAGCTAGACAATCATATTCCAGTACACCAGTTGGGGGGGGAGAAAAAGGTAGAGCACATTATGGAAAGTTTCACCAGTGTTTCAGCAGTGATTTCAGGCCTGAGCTGAATTAATATATTTGCTCCTTAACATATAGCATATGTGACCAGAAATGAGTAGTAACACAGACTCTGAGAGAAAGGACCAAGAGCAGGATATTGCCTAAAAGTCTGGATGAAGTACCTATGGGGCTTTTTATTTATTTATAATAATTTGCTTTAAGAACAGCAGTTTGGAAAAGTGGTAAGAAATGTAATTGATTACTTTCCCTTGCATGTAATGGCCTAGATTATGGTGGCTGGTGTTTCCAATGGGTCATCTGGAAATGAACAAAGAGTATTCCTTTGAGCACTAAAGCATACATACCTGTGAGAAGTGCATCGATTGTCTCCACTACATGTTTTGCATCTTCCATTGTGAAACACATTGGTGGTTTGAATTTTAATACATTTCTGTGGGGTCCATCTACACTAAGAAGGATTTGATGCTCTTTCAGCCTGTGGAAAGAGGAAACATCTCTGTTAGACACGGGTATAAAACCATGTTAGACCTTTCAGGACAAGTTAGATTATGAAACTTTTCTTTTTCTGGTACTATGTTATCAAAAGCTACATAAATTTAAACTCAAATTAATGACTAACTGCTGAGGAATATCAGGAGGGTTTGATCACTGCACAAAATCTTTAGAAATCATTTACTTGTAAATCAGGTGAAGGGCTTCAGCTGTGGCTGGTGTTCGCTTTTGTTGATCTTTCACCAGATCCACTCCAATAAACAATCCAACACCCCTGGAATAGAGAAAAAAAATACAGACAAGTAAAATCGAGCGTCAGTAATCCAAGCCTTCTGCTGCTAATGCAAAACCTGTTTCTAACAACTTTAACTCTCTTCCCTGGAGTGCAAGTGGGGAAGGAGCCGGAAAAAGAGGAGACTCTTTGGTAGTCTTTTGGCACTGGCTACTTCAGATGATCAGGTGGGATAACAGATATTTCTGGATAAATAAATGTAGCTGGCTCATTAAGGCTATGTGGCCAGTTACAAATGATAGAATAACTTTCTTTTTCTCTTACCCTGCCAACTTCAAGCCAGGGAGCTGTGAAAGACAAATAACCAAAAACAAGAACTACAAAACCCCCATAACCCAACCTCCCCCCAAAAACCTGAAGGCAGCTATCATGGTAGTAACATGAGATAAGGAAGACCCACACTAATATCTCCAAATGAAATGCACCAGAGATTTGAACAAGGGTTTCTCCTTCTCTTTCCCAGAGCTTTTCTAGTGGCTACACTTATACCTAACTAAGCAGATGGATGGACTACTTTTTTGAAAAATACATTGCCTTACAGTTTCAGTTTTGGGTAGTCCATGTCAAAAAGGAGGTGTAGTGTAATCATGACGCTATGTTTCTGTGTTACCCTCACCCCAAACTTGTTGATTTTTCTAGCAAGAGTTATTTTTCTTCTCCAACATTGCTGTAAGGCACCCACCTGATGTCTCCCACTAAGGGATGTTTCTCCTTTTGCTCAGCCAGCAACTCCAGGAGATAGTTTCCTACACGTGTAGCATTTCCTCGGAGATCTTCTTTTTCTATTACCTCCAGCACAGCCAAACCAATAGCACAAGACACTGGATTGCCTCCAAACTGATAGTAAAGACAAACAGGAAAACAAAACCTGTCAGAAACATTCATCTGTGTCTATCCATGTAGTTTCCACTTGCCCTCTCTTGCTTGGCATGTTGTGAGGAAGGCTTGAAGAGATGGGGATTTTGTGCCGTGCAGGCTGTGAAGCACCGTCCCCCACACTTTGGGCAGTGTGAGAGGTTCAAGGGAGGGGCTTGCTCTTCCTCTGCTTCGGGTTTCAGTAATTTGAAGATTTCACAGCTGAAGCGTTCAACCTACTTTCATGGTTTGCTGATTGCATGTGTAGGCAAAATGCTCCTGTGAAGAGCACTGGGTGATCTGGTATTTCTTGAACTGGAGGGTATAAACTCCACTGAAAGCAGGGGGATTTGTGGTAGCTGGGAAGAAGGCTCAGTCACAGGAGTGGAAAAAGGGCTCAGTAAACAAGAAGAAAGCTGCTCCTCTGTGGCATTCATGCAGCTCAAATGTTCACTGATTTTGTTAGGTGACAACTGCAGAGCAAAATTTGCCAGGGCATGAGCCTCAGCAGTACAAAGCCTATCCTAGAAAATTACATTTTACATGGTCAGCAATTTCAGAGCGGGGAGAGAGAGAAGTAAGGAAGAATTTATCTGTATGGATGTAAGCTGAGATGCATGACTTGCTAGAGAGTTAGTGCTGGTCCACATTAAGATACATTACTTGGCACAGAGCATATTTCAAAGCCTCTCTACTTTCTTTTAGATATTAGACTGTGGTTGACTTGAACTCTTAGTAATGTGATGCAGCGATAGCTGCAGGTGTTAGCTGAATCATCCAAACAACTTCTAATTGCTAAATGCACACCAAAAGAAAACACGGCAGACCTTCACCTATGAACTTACTGTATTGAAATACTCCAGTCCGGAGGCACCAAAACTTTCAGCGATTTCCCTTGTTGTGACCACACAAGACATAGGGTGGCCATTGCCAATGGGCTTTCCCATGGTGACAATGTCAGGCACAAAGTCTTCACCTTGCAGCTGGAATGCCCAAAAATGCTTCCCAACTCTGCCAAAGCCAACCTGGACCTCATCAGCTATGAACACTCCACCCGCCGCACGCACGTACCTGAAAATAAATGCAATAGCTTGAATGACTAGTGCTGTAGTGCGTGTCTCAGGTAGGCAGTCTGGGACAAAGGAGTCTGTATTACAGGAATTCTCCAGTGTGAGACCAGGTTACGAAAAAAAGTTGAAACACAGCTATAGCTATTTCAATTGATTAAATTTTTAGTCTGCTAAACTTTAACGAAAGAATTCTGATATGTTGATGCAAATTAGGGGTACTCTAATGGTACTGCAAGGCTACATCTATGATGGTTCAACTTCATCTTCCATCAAACTTATGGCCTGAGAATTAAAGATAGAAAAGGAAAGACAATTATCCAGCTAAAAACAATTAATCAGCTGATGTTCCATAAAAAATAGAAGTGGAGTCATACTCTTCAAAAACAAGAAAGCAACCAGACACAGCCAAGACCAAGAGAGTGTGACAGCTGAATTGACTGGATAAGGCTATAGTGAAAAACCTGTTTCTTTGGTTAATTTTCCCAGTTATGCCCCTTTGAAGTGATGTACGTACTCTGCCACTTTCTGGAAATAGCCCACAGGTGGAATTACTTGGCCTCCACAGCTCTGCATGGATTCGGCTATGAAGGCAGCAATCTACAAGAAACAAACTCTGGTGAGAGCCGTGTTCATCTGCTTGGCCTTTGCACAAGCATCTAACAGTCTAGAAATAAATGTTTACATTTGTGCCTTAATTTGATCACACAATGGGTTGGACAACCGAGGGCTCTTGAGAACAGCTATGGCTAAAGAATTCATTCATTTTGTAATCTGGGGTGCCCAAAATTGCAGTAGCCAGGGCCACCTTTGCAATCTGATGGGAAAACAAGGATCTCCGTTAAGCCCTAGTCCTACAACTGTTAAAGTGGAAGACACTTACTGGTGTCAGCGGACTTTGGATGAGGCTCCTGGGAGCTCTGGAAATTTATCTGCACATTCCAGTTCACAGGAGACACAACAGCGTTTGCCATTTTCACCAAGAAGTTAATGAAGCTTGTTTAATGCCAAGGCTCTCCAGTAACAGGTGTATGAGGTGATCAGCTTTTTTGTTCAATCCTGAACACCAGGTAGAGGTGGGTAGAAGCTGAACTGTGAGATGACCTGAGGCTACGCTTTGGGCACCCCTGTCTAATGCAGATAACTACACAAGTAAAATGTCAGCATGAGGCACTTGACAAAAGAGGAGAAAAATTCTACAGGTGAAATAATTCCAGTGGCTAGGAATGAAAAAGAAAGTTATTTCAAGTCAGGAGGGGTAAGAGCAGTGGGTCAGATACACTGGAACATCAAAATTCGTTTCTTGTCAACAGCAGAGGTCTATGCAGCAGAGATACGATATTACCCCAAAGTCTCAGCATAAGTCTGCTACTTAAGGGATTGCATCCCCACACCACTTGTGAACCCCTCCCCGAGCATCGAGAGGTCTCTCTGGGCTGGTGCAGTCTTCCTGGAAACAAGGCCGAGCAGTAACGTGTAAAGAACCGTACACTATATTTGAAGCGGCATGCTACGGCCAAAGAGTACGAAGCTTCCCATAGCATGTGAGGCTTAGCCTTTAGCACAACTTGTCCTGCCACAGGTCTATGTCACCAAAACCTAAGAAATATGCAAAAGAAAGGAAACAAGGGAAGAAAAAACAAAACTATCCGTTAGTAGAGAATAAAAAAAAGCTGATGAAGAAACTAAAAGAAGAGTGATGTAAGTCCATTGGACTAGAAGGGAACATGTTCCAATCTCCACTGAAGTCTTCTGTGACTTCAGTGGGCTTTGGATCAAGCCCTGTATCTCTCAAAACACTAACGTCATCATACAAAACATTAACAGACATTTTAGGTAAACCTGTTCAGAAATTCTCTGTTTTTATCAAGGTCATATTGTATATGATTGAAAGGTTCATCTTTTTAGATGACTCCAAAGTTATCTTAAGCTGCAAGACTCAGACATGTAGTATCAAGATTTTTATCTAGCATATTTTCTCTGTCTCATGGAGACTTTCATATATCCTTGCTAGAATTCATAATGTAGTTTCAGAGCTGACTTCAAAGCCTGCCCTAAGATATTTACAATCTACTGATTCAATGCATAAAATAGGAAACTAAACTGCTTTGGTTGTATCTGCTTATTTACAACTGCATTATTGATACTTTCAGTGATGCTTAGAAGAATTATGATAAGAACATGAGGTAGAAAAATGGCCCATTTTGAATACTGAACCCACCACAGAAAAATGAAGGGCCGGGGGAAGAAAGAGAAACTGAGTAAAGAAACATGTCCTCAGTTTCCTGTTTTGTGCCCCCATGCCACACTTAATAGATGAAGCCTCAGCATTTCTAGAGCACAAAACACACACCTTGCGTCCATTCTTCTGTGTTTCTTCAATAATCTTTTTCACCTCTTCAGCATAAGCACTTGCTGGATCTGGGTGGTCTTCCCTATATTTCCCTCTGTAGATATCTGGAGAAGGAGCCTGAAAAGACCAATATTTTAAATCTTTTTTAAAGCCCATCCTTCTATGAAACTTTTACTTTCTTTTCTATTGCTCTGCATTTTTGTCTACGCACACAGATAGACAACAGGAGTTAGCACAGCCTGAATTTCTGCATGGAATTGCAAAAATACTTACAGGAGCTTAAACTCAATCCAGCGCTGTGATGTGTTCAACATTACTGGACCCAACTGTTGAAAGAGCCATTATCTACCTCATCCACCCTCCTCTCCCCTGAGACACAATACTGAGTCATCATCCATCATTTTATTTCAGATTCTTACAGAAAGATCAATTTCTGCAACTGAAGAATGGGGTTTTCCAGCCTTGTCACTTTCCTTCTAGCATCCTACTCATGGTACGAACCTGTATGACCTTCAAGTCTCTACAAACAGTGCTGGGAGAAGTCCAGTAAAAAGGGAAAGGAAGTGGTATAAAAAGGTGGATACTACTTCAGCAGTGTGGTTAATGCAAGGAGGTCTAGATAGGAAAGACCTGGTTGTGTACATCTCTGGGCTGAGAATGATTTTTGTCTTTTTAAGATATACAAGTTCAGGCTGAAAAGCAAACAGCATCCCACTCAGCTGGACACCCATAAGCTCCATACCCAGATCTGTGTGAACTCATGGGGTCTGCCTTTCCAGTTTTTGTAAGTAGACTCAAGAGTCCTGCCTGTCTTTGGCCAAATCAGCACAATGGGTATTGGCCAATTTCTTCAAATGTTATAATTATACAGTGCAGTGACTTCGGAAACTTGCAGCACTATGAAGGAAATCAGCCTCAGAGCTGAATACCCTCTTAGATATCCAAAAGCAAACAATTTTGCTGTATTTAAGCCACAGACTAACAGTCAACTGTGTGTACTCCAGCATCAGCAAAACAGAAGTATATTTACACCAGAAGTAGGTAATTCAATATGCTGTACAACAGGCATAAAAATGACAAAAAGATAAAAAACCACACTTACCACATGCACAAACTCCTTCTTGCTGTCCTCTCCCAGCTGATTAAACTTATAGGGACTGATGTCAATCACAGATGTAACGTGGCCATGGTAAGCACTGCATGGGTTAAATATCAAAGTCACTTCTCGTCAAATGTATTGAAGAGCTAAATTTACAATTGTGTCCATAAATAATCCAGAACAAGCAACTGTATCTGCAACACAGTAGCACTGTTTGTGAAGGGATCTTGATTTAATTTACCCAGTCTTTCTCTCCAAGGCAATATGAAATTGCTGTTGACTTTCATTCACTAGCAAGACTGGAACCAGGAGGACGTTTTATGTCAAGTGCCAGTATGGGGACAGACCAAGATGATGTCCCCTGGACCACACACTGCCCGAGCAGCCCTACCTAGGAGTTGAAGGGTGGGCCCAGCTCCCTCATTTCCAACCTGCGGGCCCCACTCTGGCCACGGCTTTGCAGACGAGACCCCAACGCCATTGCAAGGACTCGGAGTGTGCATTGCACAGGAAGGTGGGATCTTACGCAGCAGCAGCCCACTGCTACCTGCCCTGAAGGCCCGACGTGCTAGACTGTGGACAAAGCCACTTTCAGGATAGGGATGAATACTGTTTGAATGTAAAAGCTTTATATTGCAAAATACGCTGAAGATGGTTACTACTGAGGCCAATTTAATTTAGAAATTAGGAAACACAGCCTTTTGAACCTAAAGAATGTAGCAGTTTCATTCAGGGAACAAACACTTTCATTCAGCCACAAACTTCAAGCAAAGGGAACCTCAAACCACATCAAAGACCTGTCACAATCTCAGCATGCACACAGGGTAGAGAGGATGTTTTTGCACTCCTTTGTCTTCTTTACACGTTCCTACTAGACAGTCAACAAAATCTGCCGATGGACACAAATAAAGGACAGAAAGCCCACCCTGACTGGGATGGCAGCTATGGCAAAAGCCTATGGAGCCTTGGGACCTGGGCAAAGAAATACCCTGTGGTGGTCAGGAAGAGAAGATGTTGCAGTGAAACAGTGACAGACCCAGGTGCATCCTCAGCCTCTCCTGACAGAAGCTAACGTCAGTGGCTTGAAGTCTTGGCCACGTGAGTCACAGAGGGCTAACATGGATCTGAGCACAGCTGAGTCAAACAAGCTTTGTGCTGTTCAGATAGAGACATGTGCTCTTGCAGCTGCTCTGGCTGGACTTTCTAATCACGTGAGAAGAAGATCCAGCCCTACAGCAGCATAACCAGCCCTACAGCTGTAGCTAGGACAGGGAAACCCAGAGACACGGTTGTCCACATTCTCCATGGCTGATGGCCCTCCCAGTGCCTCCTGATTTTGGAGCTGCTTGGTTTTGTGTGTGTACTTGCATTCACTGGAGGAGAGCCGAGCATCGGTGCAGCACCACTGCAGAGCTACAGGATCTTTCTTCTTGACCACTGAATATTTATTGGTATAAAAAGAAATGTGTCCAGCAGGGCATGGCAAACAGAAAGTCCTTTTCCAGAGCAGCCCAGTGGCCAGATCACCCATTAATGTTTCAAACCAACTTTTAATTCTCTGGCCCAAATTGCTTTGGAGTCTCTGTGGGAAATGCCCTGTAACAGGTGATTGACCTTCTGGGGTGACTGACAATCTTATTTGAGAGATCTTCAAAACCTGTGTTTATCTGAATGTGGAAAAAGGATTTCCTGACCTGTCCTAGTATGCAAGCAACAAAGCTTTTCTTTCAGCAGGCAGTGGAATACAAGCAGCCAGGGGTTGCTGCAAAGCTGCTTCTGAAGAAATGGCAGGAGCTGCTGGCTGCATTCACATAGCTACTCTGTGTACTTACTTTTCAAGGGTGATCACGTCTTGGTGCCCATGGTACTGCCGAGCCAGTCGTAAAGCAAGATCATTTGCTTCAGACCTGCATAACAGATACAGCAGCAAAATAGTGAGGAAGCACTTCCAATTAAAATGGTATTCTGACACAGAAGAGGAGGCACGGGAGTAATGCATGTAATAAATCAACACAGCAGTCTCTGTTACTATACAGACTACAATGCTAAGGTTGAGACTGTAAATGCCATGTAAGAGGGCAAATAAAAACAGCTCTTTGTATAAAGAGAAAACAAAGAGATGCTTTCTTTCCCTCACCCAGTTTGCTTGCAGATATTTACCTCCTCTTGGTACAAATGAGACTGCTTTGCAGCTGAAAGTGCAATGCAGCCGCAAACTCTTGAAAAGCAACAGCGTGCTGGCCCCATTTCCCACCCTCCCTGATGGCTCTGTCCTCCCCAGTGCTTGCACCATCAGGCAGCAGCAAATCTGCTCCCGGCATGAAGACCTGAAGTTCCAGCCTGACCCGTAGCAGCTACTCTGCTCACAAGTCCCTGCAGGCTGCCTGTTCTGGCAACGCAAGTGATCATAGACTAAACGGCCCAGGTAAAGAAGACTACTCATTTCCAAGGTCGTATGTCAATTTACATATAGCATTTGCCAGTCTGCACATATCCTGCTTTAATAAAATTAAGATTTGGACCAAGCTATTCTAAGTGTCCATCTCAAACAGGGGCAAATAGTGATAACGGGAAAAAAAATATTCAGACATACCCAGAGTTAACAAAATAGCAAACAGCGAGCTTCTCGGGCAGGGTGGCTGTGAGACGCTGCGCATACTGAACAAGGTTGTCGTGCAGGAACCGGGAATTTGTATTGAGCAGTTCCATCTGTTTTGTTGCAGCCTTTATCACGTATGGATGACTGTGGCCAACTAAAGAAGAAAATAATTAGTTATTACTAGCAAGCAGTCAGTTACTGAACCACACCAGCAGCTTCAGAGAAGCACTGTGAACATCATCACTTGGAGAAGTGTGTTCTGATCCCTGTTAGAAATGAAGGAATAGAAGCAGTCTTACAAGTTAAACTGCTTACCATGTGCAACGTTGTTGATACAGTCCAAGTATTTTTCTCCTTTCTCATCAAACATGTATTGGCCCTGAGCACGCACTATCTTCAGAGGGTCCTTGGCAAAGAAAACTTTGCAGGAAGGCCTGAAAAAAAAAAAAAAAAGTATTACAAAATAACACCATTTTAGTTTTTTCAGTTGTTGCCCCTCCTTTGAGTGTTGAGGGGGCTGGTCTTTCGCAGATCTGGAGACAACTGCCTCCATCTCCAAAGAGCTTGTGACTGGTTCACATGGTGGTCAAGCGGGGCTCTTGCTGAAATTCAAAACAGCCCCCGCACACCTCCCCAGGCACAGTGGGAACAGAAGTAGGTCTTTAATAAGGGCGTTTTCAAAGCATGACTCTGTCTGCAAATAGTTGCACAGCAGCTCAGTGACTGCAAGTCATTCCAGGTCCTTATATGTCCTGCTGTGTCTCCAGGCTATAGCTCTATTTGTTTACATGCCTTAAGAACATGTATGGCCAATTAACTCACTGGGAATAAAACTAAGTTGTTAAGCATTGTTTTATACTACAGCCAAAAATTCATTGCGCAATGGATGACTGTACCGTATAGAGGTCACATTCAAGAAGAAAATACTAACGCCTTGCAGGCTTTATTTTCAGAGGTCCTGAGCAGATCCTAAAAAAATCTCACGACCTCATCTTGATTGCTTTGGATAAAATCTTTAAAGGCAGCTTTTTATAAGCACCTAAATTGCACTGGCTTCCAGCAAAACGCAGGCTCCTTATAAAATTAGCCAAAGTACTCTTTAAACACTTCCCCCTCTCCCCCCCCTTGGAGAACATGCCAGCTATGTTGTTATGTTGAATGACACTACCAAGCAGAAGGAAAGTCTTCTGAACTTTTAGTAAGGTTTATATGGCCTTGGATAAGCACAGTCGATTCCAGGTAACTCAGAGAGTTATTGTCAGGTATTAGCACATTACGAACTTGTGAATCCTAAATGTGACTCCTAGAAAGTGAAGTCGTCTGCTTTCTTTCTCACAGTTTCTAGCCCCGTTGCATAGATCTTTTCTGACATCTTCAGCTATTCTTCTGGTACGCTTTAACAGTGCACATCATCACCATCACTGGCCATTCCTTGACTACATTTTTTCCTTCTATAACACGTCAGTTCATTCTGTGAAAGTTTCTTTTTGTTCACCCAGCACATCGCAATCCCGTAACTCCTGCACAGGAAAAAGTCCCTTAACCTTGAGCTGGCCCCTAAAGAGAGCTTGATGCGCACACTTTACGAGGCTGTGACTTTTGTGAATCTTTCGGGAGCTCTCTGTATATGCCACACATTCAGGACACAATCAGCAAATGGCCAGCACTGGTTTTAACAGTCTGGACTTATTTTTCACTTGGCGACACCCACTGAAGAAAGAATGAAAAGCTGCACTTTCTGGAGGAAATAATATTACAACACAGATCAGACACGCGCCCAGCCAGGACTATTGCCCAGGTCACGGCTGCCAGCAGCCTTCCCACGTTCCCCCCAGTCAGACTCCGCTTCAGAAGCCTCCTCAGCTTCACTTCACAGAGACGTCTATTTTTCAGGAGCGCGCAGTTTATCACAAAAAACCCCTGCACAGCCCCGTTTTAGGCATCCACCTGGGTACCGCCTTCTGGTGGCTTGCTTTGAGCCGTTACGAACGCGAAGCCGCGTTTGACAGCGCGGTGTTTGCAGGCCCGCATCCCCCCGCCCAAGGATTCCGGGGAATCAGAAGTGGCCCCGAGGTTTGGCCAGCTGAAGGGCTGACAAGTCGTGTGTCTGTGTGTCTGTCTGTGTGTCCGTCCAGCGGGGTCCGCTGAAGGGTCGGGGGGGCTGCCCAGCGCCGTGAGCCCCCGGTCACC